TTTTGAACAGGGATAGAATCTTTATTTCACACAGAATCCCAAGATTCCCTTCTCTCCTGGAAACAGACTCATTTTCAAGGTAGTCAAGACATATATAGAAAAGTAATCTTACTTTATGTTTGCAAAATTAAGGGTCATTTTTAAAACAAACAAAAAAATAAGAAATGTACTGAGGAGTATGAAGTGAGGGAGGGGCCGGGGGAGGGCACAGTACTATAGACTGGGAAAAAGGGAAGTCAAAGGACCAAACACTGAGTATTCTTGGCTCTCAAGAAAAGCTACTCTGTTCATTTACCCGGAAGCACCTAACAAAAGCCTTTGGCCATTGCTCTGTTTCAGCTTCCTGAATATAACTGGATCACCAACTGACTCCCATTGTCCCAGGGCTACAGAACAATGTTCACAAACATAAATCCGTCTGGTCTGGTACACATCCAAAAAGTTCTTTGGGTGTATTTTTTTTTGGGGGGGGGAGGGCAGGGAAAGAGTACTGAAAGTCTGTAGGAGGGTTTGTAACCATATAACTAGAATAGGATTCCACCCCAGAAAAGATGTGTGTGAGAGGCAGTAAGCACCTCCAAGCACCAGGACATGTTCAAGCGTGTCAAGAAATATATTACATATGCTGATCAATATGCTGAACAAGATGTGCTGTGTGTAGCTGTGTTTCCCAACATATTCTACCTCATCAGGATCTCTTTACAGTTGCAAAGTGATCCATACTCTCCCATAAATATCTCAAAGCACCAACACAATAAGAGGTGCAGAGGCCAGAACAGACTATGGAACCCCTACGTGTGTTTCCAAAGCCTAACCGAGTCAGGGCCACCCTCCCCCAACACTTTTGGGCAACCCTCAGATGAAGGCAGCTGCTAACTCAGAGGGAAAAAAAGTGCACGGTGGAGGAGGTAAAAGGATTATTTTTAAGAAAGAGCACAATCTAACTTTTCTCTACACCACCCACTCCACACCACCTCCTCATTCCCTTGTCTCTCCTCCTGCCTGTTCCTCCATTTCACTTTCCTTCCCCAGCCACTCTCTACATGTTCCTCCACACCTCTCCCCTGCAGTTCCTCCCCTGTGTCCCTAGGGTGCCACCAGCTCAGAGAAAACAGTAGGAAAAGCAATTGTGTGCAAAGACTTACAGCCACCACTGAGCTCAGAGATGGAGATAAAGCCGGCCAGCTTCCTGCTCAAAACTCCACATGTGTAAGAATCAAAAGTGCATATTCTTTTTTTAAAGTTTCTCTTCACATCAGTCAGGAAGATAATAAAAAAGCATCTCCATTACAAGCTAACCAAACCAGTTAATTACATTATCCTCATGATGTGCCTAAATACTGGAAGATAAGAGTCTTCTTCTTCTTTAAGTAGACTTTTGCTATTCAACCCATGTTTCTTAAGTATGATGTCTGAAGTTCACATCCAAAGTTCAGTGTGGAATACTGAGCATTTTTCAGGTGTCTGTGATGAATTCATGTGTTCTGTGGATCAATGCCTTCACTTATCTGTGGACAACAAGCAACCCAACATCCTCAGGAGTCTTCTGTCCAGACCAAAATACTATGCTGCCCAAAGTTAAAATAACAAGGCGCTTTCCAAAGTAGGATAACTAAAATGTGGGGCCAGATTTTACGTGGCAGGAGAGGAAGGCAGGGAGGAGAAATGTCGAGATGATGTGCAAGAAATTAAAACAAGAAAATCAGTTTAATCTTTACCCAGAATGTAGGAAATACGTAGGTCAATAAAAGCAATGTTTATCTCCTCCTTTATAACAATCCACTCAATTCTCATAAAAAACTCATTGCCATCATTTCAGAGCCAACTCCTAGCTGTCCTTCCCCTGGGTTTCAAAGACTGTAAGGCGCACGGGAGGATATTGCCCACCATTCTCTCAAGGAGTGTCCTTACAACTCCCTGCTCTGAGGGAGTGTATCCACTCAATCAGCATTCCGGAAACATGTACTAAACCCATTCCATGTTTCAGGGTGTATGCTACGGTTCAGAGACACCACTGTGAACAAGACCAGAACTGAGCCTTGCTCTTGTGCAGCTTATGGACTACCATGCAATACACACAAAACTGCAGACTCACAAAATTACAAGATGAAATATGCATCACAAGAGAAACAAACAAGGGTCTAAGGATAAAAATCACAAAGGAACATGCTTTAAAAAGAAACATGATGAAAAGGGATCTCTGAAGAGGTGATTTTTTTTTTAAAGATGGGACATCAAAAAACACTAAAAAAAAAAATAGGCAGCACAAGAATGGGACAACTATTCCAAGAAAACAGAACTAAAAGAGTAGAAGCCCTGAGGAAGAAGAGGTTTTAACATCAGGGAAATGAAAACACAGTGTGCCTAGCAAAGAGGGCCAAGGGGAAAGCAGCACAAAGCAAAGCTGGAGTGACATGCTATACAAATTATTTTATTCTAAGGCAACAAAAATGGCAGGACCAAATTTATACTTCATGGTGGTCAATGCTGCCACTTTTTGAATAAAGTTTTGGGAAATCGGGCCTCTTGCAGGTGCTAAGCAAGATATGGTGATGCTCTGGACCAGAAAGCAGCAGTAAATCTGGGAAGCAACAGACACTGGCAAAGCTTACTATAGAAGTAAGATAAACAGAAGCCCTTGAAGGATCACATGTTCCCAAAGGACGTGGGAACAAGAGCAAAGAAAGAATCAAAAATGACTCTTACAAGTTGCTCTATGTCTCCATATTTTTAGAAATCCTAACAGTGTGTGATACAGTGATGGACACACGTGAGAATCTTGTCTTTAGCCGCTCAAACACTCTAGATGCAAGAAAAGTATAAGTGAATGCGGCAGCTCTTGAGAGAAAATAATGGTGCAAGTAAGTTACTTAATTAAGCTATTTTTCTAAAACTATTGCCATGCTCATACCAGAATACTGATGGTTACTTAACTCATAGAGTTAAATATCTTTCTATATCTGGATACAAAATTCTGACTTTTGAATAGAAGAGCAACAGGTAACCAGACATATAGGTTCCATCACAAGCTGTAAGGAAAATATGGCAATTCTTAAGAGGATCTTCATATCAAATGGGATTACTTCTGTCATGCACGTGAAAGGCAGGTTACAGCATCATTTACTGACCTGTCAGGGAAAAAGCCAACTATCAAGTGATAATTTACAAGTAATTTCATTATGATCACTGAACACACTAGTCATTAATGCCTCTCCTCGGGATCTCTTTAAAAACCAGTGTACAACATAATACTTCAATTCCCAGGGAGGAAAAGAAACTTTTACACATGTACTCAAAACAATCCCCAAATGCCACAGACAGCAACAGCACTCATACTGACAGATATTTCATCTCAGTCCTTATTACTGGGATATAGACAAAAGCAACACACAGCGAGAAAGAGTGAGTATCTGTACAAGGTTTTAGTGCAGGTCTTGCCAAAACAGACAGTGAATCAAGATAAACAGAAGTAATTTATCTGGAAGGAAATGTTATCTTTTGTTCGCCCAGATTATTAGCCCTTTTTATCTGCATTTCAAAGACTTTACTCAAAATAAAACCCATTATTTTAGTCAGTAGGTGAAGGATCACAGTCAAGAGAAAATTTCTCCCAAACATTCCAAAGAAAAGTACGTAGCTTTACTCTCTCGCCTTCGAGACTCTTCTACAGCCTCGACATATCCTAACACCTTTTTAATTTGGTGGTCCACGTCCAAACTCTTCTCAAACTTTTTCCCTTAACTCGGTGTGTTGCTCATCTCAGCACAGTACTTCTCCTGCTTCCCTTGCCACCTGCTCAGTTCCAATTGTGAGACTAAAAAAAGTTCACATCACTACACTTCACACCCTCTTTAATTTAACTCTGTAAATTCACTTTTCAACACCGCTGAGCTGTTCATTCTAATTTGGCCTGTCATCACCTGCAATGACTGAACTCGATCTTTATCTGAGCCACCTATAAGGTATTTTTATTGCGGGTTCTGTATTTCTGCAACTGTAGCAATGAGATGAAGAATGTGCAGATCTCTGCCAACAGGAAAAGCTGTCACTATGTAACTCACTCCTGTTGGGGAATCTCCCAAAATTGGCATGTGTTTTTACAGCTTCTCCCTCCTAACCGCACATACTCATTCTCACTTCAGCCACAAGGCTATGTATATAACTCTCCACATTAAAGGAAATGAAAAGCAATATATACATAAAGGCCACCCTATCACTGAAATCCAAGCTGTTCCTTGACTTTCTGCTACTCTATTTTTAATTCACATTTCCATATAATATATCATATTTAATATGCCCAATGTTTCAGAGCTATGTCACTCTGCATTCATCTCTCACAGGGTACTTTCCAATATTTCTTTGGGAATCATCAATCTGACCTGGTTAAATGTCATTTAAAATCCTGATATTTGGAAAATGCTACATATATACTCTCTTCTCTAGCCCTCAGAGACTGAGTGGTGCAAATGATTAAATGCTCAATTACTAGTCAAAAGCTTGGCAGTTAAACCATATCCATGGGCACCGCAGAAGACAAGTCTAGGACAAGAATCACAGCTTGGAAAGGCTAAGGAGCAGTTCTATTCTGCATACATGGGGTTGCCATGGGTTAGAATCAACTGGATGGCAATTAATAACATCCTGAGCTATTATCGCAACAGAACTGATTTCCAAGCAGCAACAATCCAAAAACTGTCCCTTCATGGTCTCCCAGTTACTCTTAACTGCTGTGGTTAAATACAAAGTAGTACTGTCCTATTTAACAGTTAGAATGCTTAAGCATGGTCATGTGTTCCTGAGCAACTCAGAACCTTACTCAGATGGCCCTCTAGATGAACCTGCTGGGACAAGAAAATCATCTACATACACATTAGCCTTTAAAGCAGGCCATCTCAGTGTTGTTGTATCCCTTCCTACCCAGCCATAAGATCCTAATAGTGTCTTTTCAAAGGATGGGAATGTAAAGAAGAGACATGCTCCAACGCCCAAGAAGTACTTACTGAGTGGTTTTAAGATGCTGCTGCTTGATTCATCAGCATTTTCCACATCTGACTTGTCAGAGTAGTTCTCAGAGATTCTTTCTTTTTCCTTCTTTTCTTTGTGTCCTGCCTTTCTCTTGTGACGTCTCCTTCTTCTATAACTCTTCGGCACGTGGACCCCAATGTAGATAGTGTGGTGGCCTAAGGAAGGTGCACAAAGCATCTGTCATTTCAGATTGCATTCCCCACTGCATACAAATTGCACAATATTTACAAGTCAGAATAAAGTATCTTTGAATTCAATATGATCAATTTATGTTTTAAAAAAGAAATTCAAACCAGGAAAGCAAGATTGCTTAAGAATATTCAAGTGGTTACATTTTAATGACAAGTGTGTGCTGTTATTAAGATTCCATGTACATGCACTCTACTGTTTTCCAGATAGACTACTGTATAAATGCTTAGATAGAAATTTCATTATTTTGTTGTTGTTAAGTCAAAATGCACCCAAAACATACACCAAGGCAGAAGTTTCTACACATACCATATAGTGACATTAAGTATGTTCTATGAGTTGTATAATCATTCTTAACTCTTATTTTCTGAGTGGCTGACATTAAAATAAATTCACTGCCCTGTAAGGTCCCTATCTAATTTTTGAGCTGCAATTGTTAACATGATCCCAAATAGATAGTTCTTTAAAAACTGTAATGCTCAAGGAAGGCAGGTTTTACTAGTTAAGTTAAATTCTTGCTGGGTTTTAAGAAAACTTCAGGGGATATATTTGATTAAAGATTACCTTAAGGCAGAAGTTTCAGGGGTTCATCTAAACCTCAAGGTTCCAAGATGTCTAGAGTCCATGAGAACTTTAAATTCTGTCTTGCATTTCCCCTTACAGATCTGTATTATTCTATGGAAACCTCGATCAAAATGCTCAGTAATGGCAGCTGAACATCATTCAATTCTTCTGGTATAACAGCAAAAGGGGTAGTCATGGCACCAACTAGCCACACATTCCATATCCTCTTCCTGTGTGTAGGACAGTCACAGAATTGGAGAGCTAGAGCTGATGATTCTGATGAGACCTCTGCTTTCAAATAGCTACATGACAGTAAATTTGTTCCTTAACCTGTGTAGGCAATGAGAGGCTTAAATTAGGTAATTCCTAAAGGTCCCTTCACTTCTAAGCAGTCCATGATTATAATGAAAAGGGAGCTAAAAAAACAGTTCTCAGAGTTGAGAAATAAAGATCTAACTCAAAGTTCAAAAAGTCATTTTCTAGGGATAAGATTTTATAGTGAAACTTTTTTTTTCTTTTTTTTTTTACCCAATCAGCAGAACAGAGACTGAGAACTGGGACAAACTGAGAAAAATAAGACATACTTGGAGAGAAGATTTTAGAAATACTCAAATGTTCACACTAGGAAACAGCTAAAATGAATGTCAGCTATAGTGCCATTCTCATTTTTCTTTTTTAGTTTCTGAAAGTTTCTAAAAACTGGTAGTTGCAATGATAAAAATAAACCCAGCCCAGCAAAAATTGCCTGAAAGAGAAGGGCATGAGAAAAAAAAGATTGTGAAATGCTTTCAGTTTTCTAGATGGAAGGAGCTGCAAAACTGACAAGCAGTATTATTTTTACAAAATCTGGTAAGACAGAATAAAAAAAGGAACTCAAAGTCCTACATCATTTTGGTCTTAGGGGTATTTTTTTTTATCTTTGAAAACTTTTACTTTCACTTTTTATACAGCATAACTGCTAGATGTGGGACTGCATACAGAAAGAACGTGAAATTTTTTTCCCTGAAAATTAGACTGAATGACCTCATCTATTGCTTTTATTTCACATTTTTGGAATCATAATACTTTAATGACAGTTTTAGAGGAAATGGACAATATCATGTCCCCACATGTAATACATGCATATGCAGTATATCTAGTATTTTGTATGAATTAATTTCCAAAGGGATCTCTAAAATCATCATAATTCACAGAGATGTTACCTTAAATTGTCAAGGTTAAAATGATGGTGTGCTGTTTCAAAGAAGAGGTTACACTTAAGGAAAGTAGAATCCTAATAAAAGAGGGTGTGTGTGCAAAGGTGTGGGGGCAGTGGTAGCATTCTCTTCTCTCATGTAGGAGACTCGGGTTCATTTCTGGCCAATGAATCTCAAGTTCAACTACCGCTTGTCTTTGGAGGCTTGAGAGTTGCTATAAGATTTCAGCAGAGATTCCAGGCTAGAATTTACATTATAAAAAAAAAAAAGACTGGCAGTCTACTTGAAGAGAAAATAAAAATAACTTTATTGATCACACACAGTCAGATGTTGTGCATGTGATCTCCAAGTGGCAAGGAAAAAATATGAAGACAACTAACCTGTTGAGTTGGAAAGAAAGTATCTGATGCCTGGAATGAAGTTGGAGGTATCTTTTACATAAAGCAAGATTCCATCTCTGACAAACATACACACACCCAAACCCACACACAGCAATTCAACTACTACAAAGCACAGTGAAATCCCCTCCCCCAGGCTATGAGCCAATGAGAAAGTTATCATGTCTAACAATTTGCAGGCAAATTGTTCTCATGGGAAAGCTATATTATAGTAGGAAGTAGGAAATGTCTCAGAAACAACTGAATTAAGAAACAGTGTCAATTGTTTCCTGCTCTCCAGTTACCAAGGGAGTCCTACAGCTTTATCTCAAGTCACAACAATGTAAGCAAAACCAACCAATTTCTCCAGCAAATAAAAAGCTGAAAGCTTGGCTGCCTACATTCAGGAACTAGGGAAATGACATTAAAAAAAAAGTTTTAAGGCTGAATTTCTTTTTTATATCGTACTAAATAATTTCTACATACAAAATAATAAGCAAAAATTATAATTAAGCTACATTGTTATTGTTAGGTGTCATCGCGTATGACTCATAGCTACCTTGTTAACAAGAGATCTGAACCCTATCCTTTCTTGTACCATCCTCACACTTCCTGACACACAAGAGCTCACTGTAGCAGTCACCGTGTCAATCCACCTGGTCAAGGGTCTTTTCTCCTTCGCTGACTCTCTACTCTGCCACGTATCATATCCCTCTCAAAAGAATAACTCCTCCTAGCAACATGCCCAAAGTATATGAGGCAAAGCCTCATCATCCTTGCCTCCAAAGACACTCAGGCTGCACCCTTTCCAAGATATATTTTATTATTCTGTTTGCTGTCCATGGGGTGTTCAGTGCTCTTCTCCAACACCCACAGCTCAAACGCATCAATTCTTCTTCTGACAGAAGCAGCAGCTCATTAGCCACATTAATAGTTAATGCAGAAAGATTTCCTATCCATTTACCCAAATGACAGGATTTTAAGTTAAGATTTTTGGCTATGGATGTCAGAAGATTGCACTGGAGCGTAGAGAAGCCAAAGCACAAGGAAGAATTCAAGATACTAAAGAGCTGAACTGAAGATTCCAAAAGGCAGCATGGGATGACAAAGCAAAATATTACAATGAAATGTGCAAGGAGCTAGAGTTAGAAAATCAAAAGAGCCAAACTCATTCAGCATTTCTTAAGCTCAAAGAATTGAAGAACAAATTCAAACCTCGAGTTGCTATAATCAAGGATGCTTTAGGTAGAATATTAAATGATCCAGGAAGTATTAAAAGAAGATGGAAGGAATATACTGAGTCA